TTCGCACGTGTGGCCGCACTGTCTCTCTGGCCTTGAGTGGGTCCCATGTGGTGGGCTCGGCCGAACTCGATGAGCGTGCAATGGTTGAGATTTCCAATTCCTAGCATCAGACAGGCTGATGGAGAAGAGAGAGCTGGCAGTGTCGAGGTTGATCGTGGCACTTGGGTGCTCCAGACATCCCGCGCCTGGAGTTTTTCGATGCGTGGGCCCCTGGACCCCCGCCCCTTTCCGCGGGATCTCGTTCTAGTGATTTTTATTGTCCCAGTGACCCGAATCGGGCCTCCAGGTGCAGAACAATGACGGCAAACCGGCCGCCTCCATCTGTCTCGAGGCGCCAGAGGTCGGCGGGGGAGGATCGAGCATGGATCTGTCTGTTGTATGGGAGCGCCACACTCTCCATCGCAAAGCCATCGAAACCCAGGAAACCCAGGGCGCCGAGGAGGAGGAGGAGGAGGAGGAGGAGGAGGAGGAGGAGGAGGAGGAGGGCACCCTGGAGGTTCGAGCATGAAGGTGTCCGTCCCTTCGCAGGCCATGCCGAGCGACGCGTCGGAGCGGCAGGGCAGAGCCGCCCAGCGCGCGGCACGCGGCCAGCTAGCTGAGGTCAGAGAGGAGGTTCCAGCAGATGTCTGGGCCCCGGAAAACGGCAGGGCCGTTTCTTTTCACCGTTTCCAAAGACATGTCCCTTGACAATGGAAACGGCAAAAAAACGGCGACCGGAAACGGCAACAAAAACGGCTCCAGGATTGGCACCGGAGCCAGAACCGGTCAAAAACGGCGACGGAACCGGTGAAAGAACGGCGTCGGAACCGGCAACAAAAACAGCAAAACGGAACCGGTAACAAAACGGCCCTGTCGTTTCCAGGGCCCACTAAGGTCTGGGCCAACACCACAACAAACAAACGTATAATTTTCACACCTGCGTTGCTTGGCTGCCCACGGACACGCCAGGCCAACATATATCGGGGGAGCGTAAGACCCGGGTTTGCCAGGACTCGGGTTCGCCATCGTTTTTTGACGACCGCGACTCGGATTTTGACGAGTAGGAGTTTCGTGGGATGTCTGCAGCGGGAGGCCTCGTTAAAATGCAGGCTCGGCCTCGTCTTTTCCTTGACGACCTCGTCGGGAATTTCCGGGTCCCCTGTGCCCGGGTCTTACGCCCCCCTGAATATAGCCGGAGGCAGGAGCCGCAGGTCCTGCCATCCCTCGGCGCGGCCGCGCCCTGCCGCGCTCAGGCCAAGGGCCTCTGGGAGCCGCTGCTGCAGCGAGCTGCGGGCGACCGCCGCCCCGAGCACCGCACGCGCGGGGGGGCGGCCTGGGCGGGGAGCGGGAGCCGCCGTGCGGGGCATCGAGAGGAGAGCGGTTTGTGTGGTCTTACCAGCCTCGAGCGTATCCTTATTTCCAAGATTGACACGCCAGAAGGCGGTGACAATCTTAGGGATTCGCCCTCAAAGAAGAAGGGAGTCCCCAAGATTGGCATCGTGATGAGGAGGTGCCCAGCGTGGGGATAGGGATGTGTTCCAGGCTGGCAATGGTCCGTCCAAGGTTTCAGGGGCGGTCTAACCGACCCCCAGCAGACCATCCCGTTCCCCGACGTGCCCCTCGCCTCGCTTGGCCCGGGGCGCACGTGTGCGGCCAGAGGGAAGCGTGGAAGGCGAGGGCGACGTCACGGAAGGGGACGGCTTGCTAAGGGGTCAGGCTGCGCCCGAGAGGCTCTGCTGCCTCTTTCTCTGGCCTCTGCCAGCCGAGGAGGAGGAGGAGGTGGAGGAGGAGGAGGAGGAGGAGGAGGCCCTCCCTCCTCTCCCCCCCTCGCTCGCGCATCCCCCCTCTCCGCAGATCGCTCCCGCGGTGCTGTCCGAGGGCTGGCACGGATCGGCAGCGAGCTCGGGGGGGGGGGAAGCGAGACGGAGGAGGCCCTCGCAGAAGGCTCGGGCGTCCCTCGGCCTCCTGTGTCCCGAGGCTTCTCCCGAAGACGCCGCAGGCAACTGATCAGAGGGCGCGAGGGCTCCTGAGAAGGCCCGCCCCCTGCTGGGGACCTTCCTGGGGCACACCTAACGGATCTGTTCGACGCAGCTTCGACGCAGGTGCGATTCAAGTTCGACGCAGCTTCGACGCAGCTTCGACGCAGCTTCGACGCAGCTTCGACGCAGCTTCGACTCGGGTTCGACTCGGGTTCGACGCAGCTGCGACGCACGAGTGGAACGAGTGGCTCCAGGGAGGTCCCCAGAAGGAACATCTAATCCCTCGGCCTCCTGTGTCCCGAGGCGTCTCCCGAAGACGCCGCAGGCACTTTATCAGAGGGCGTGAGGGCTTCCGAGAAGGCCCGCCCCCTGCCGAGAGAGGGCCTTCCTCCTTCTCGCTTCCCCCCCCCCCCCTCGCCTCGCTCGCCGTCAAGGGGGGGTGGGGGGGGCAGGGCGCCCTGGAGGCAGAACGGGTCCCGAAGGCTTCCCCCCTGGCCCTGTCGGGGCGCAGGCCCTCTCCCTGCGGTCCACGGGGGCCCCTGGGGCCAGCGAGCGCGACGACTCGGCCCTCTCCCTGGGGTCCCACGGGGGCCCCTGGGGCAAGCGAGCGCGACGACTCGGGCGGCGAGGAGCCATCTCGTCCTGAGGAGGCGCCCCCGGGGTCCAGGGCCGTGGAGGAGGGGAGGCAGGGAGAGGGCACAAGAGGGGGGCTACAAAGCAGGGGGAGGATACAGAAACAGAGGGGGGATACAGACCAGGGGGGAGGATACAGGAAGGGGGAGGGGGATGCGAAACAGGGGGAGGGTACAAAAATCAGGGGAGGGTGCAGAACAGGGGGAGGGTACACGTGGGTCTGGCGGACCCGCTCCCCTTATGTGCTCATGAGGAGGAGGGGAGGGCGCAGAAACAAGGGGGAAGCTGTGGCGGTGCCTCAGTCTCGGCCTCGTGCTGCAGACTGCTTGCTCCCCCCAGCGCCAGAGCACGGGCGCGAACTCGCGAGGGTGATCCGGTTTTGCGGCCAGCATGCTGGCATTCCCGTCGCTCAGGCTCGGCAGTCTCTGCGCCAGCCAGCCCCTCCGCGGACACAACAGCGAAGGCAATTTCGGCCATGGCGGAGGGAGAGAGGCGGAGGAGTAGGAGGAGGAGGAGGAGGAGGAGGAGGGAGGAGGGGGAGGAGGGAGGGGAGGAGGAGGAGCGGGAGGAGGAGAGCTCCACCCGGCGGCCCCCCCCCCCCGCACGGCGGGCGCGGCGGCTCCGTCGTGCTCTGCACCAGGGCCGCGGGCGCCTCGACGCCTCGCGCCGCGGCGCCGCCGCGCCGCCGCGGCCCCCCGGTGCGGTGGCCCGCCGGGCCACCGCGCCGTGCCCCCGGCGGGGCCACTCCTCCTCCTCCTCCTCCTCCTCCTCCTCCTCCTCCTCCTCCTCCTCCTCCTCCTCCTCCGCGGCGCGCGGCCCAGCCCACCGCGAGGCGCCTCCCCCCAGGGGCCGTGCCGCCCTGCCGTGGGGAGTGGCGGCTCGCCGTGAGCAGCTCGAGAGCCGCGGGTCGGCGGCGGCGGCGAGCGAACAGGGGCGCCCTCGAGGGCGCGAAGTCATGCGCGCTTCGCTGTTCGGCTCCGAGTCTTCCGCATCCTCCTCCTCTCCCGTGGGAGGCGGCGCGAGAGCGCGAAGTTGTTCGCACTTCGCGCTCTCTCGCAGCGCGAAGCGCGAAGTTGGGAGCCCTTGGCGAAGGGGGGGGGGGCAGTGAGAAGGGGCGGGCCTTCTCGGGAGGCTCGGACGTTCCCCCCTCAGCCTTCCGAGGGGTGTGCGCTCCGAGCCTTCCCAAAACGGTGCGCAGGCAGCCTCTCGCAGAGGGCGCGAGAGGGCCTCCGAGAAGGCCCGCCGCCTGCTGAGAGGGCCTCATCCTTCTTGCGTCCCCCCCCCTCTCTCGCCGCCGAGTGGGGCAGTGGCACATCCCGGCCCCTCGCTCGGAGTCGGTCGCGGTTCTGGCACTGAGCTGATTCTAGACGTGGCGCGATTTCTGGGATCCCTGCCGGGTTACTTCGTGGCGGCCCGCGTCCAGGCGTTCGAACGGGGTCCGAGCGGGATGGGGTCAAAGCCGGGGGCGGCAAAGAGGGGGGTGATGATTAGGGGAGGGGGATATCATGGCGGGGGCCATGATATTTCCCCAGATTTCATGGCGCCTCTTCTTGTTTCATTACGTCCCTGGCCCCCCCGCTGGGCCGCGCACGTGCCGCCGGTCATGATTTGCAACCCGCCTTCTTGGACACCCCCCTCTTGGCCGCTCCCGACAAGGGATCGCGTCGCATCACCGATGCATCGCCGCCATCAGCGCGGAGGAAATTGGATCCACGGGCGCGCAGAGTTCGTGCGCTGGTGGAAAAAGCAGCTGCGCGCACACGCCGCACCCGAGGCCCTGATGATCTGCAGGCCCCCCCGGATGAGGCCCGAGCAGATGGGGTCGGAGGATCTCTCCGCATCGCCGATGCTTCGGCGATGCGGCTCGATGTGTAGCCCGATTTCCACGACGGTGGCGCCGATGCTCGAAGAAGAAACATCGCTATAAACATGATTTTGGAGCTCCGCGCAGATTTCTTGCATCTTCGCTGGGCCCCCCCGGCGGCTCCTCCGGCGCCGCCCCCGGCGCGCTCCGCACGCCGGGGAGGGGGTCCAGCGCAGATCCAAGAAATCTGCGCGGAACGCCAACAGCTTGTGCTTCTCATCGCGTTTGTCCCTTCTCTGATGGCTTGTGCTTCTCGCGTTTAGGCTTACGCCTATCGCGTTGATTGCCTATGAGTACAGCCGGTGCATCGCCGACGCATCGCCGACGCATCGTCGACGCATCGGGGCGATGCGGCGCGATCCTCCGACCCCGGCTGCTCGGAGCCCAGGCGGGGAGGCCTCCACCGCGGCTCCCGTGCTCGCAGCCCCGCGCTGCTCCTCGTGGTCTGGCCGAGGGCAGCGTCCCGACACGGGCCGGTCGGGCCTGCCCTGAGGGGCAGATTGTCCGCCACCGCTAATCCATGTGCAGGACGGGGGAGAAGGGGGGATGAGGAGGTCCTCCTCCTCCTCCTCCTTCTCCTCCTCCTCCTCCTCCTTCTCCTCCTTCTCCTCCTTTTTTACTTACTCACTTACTTCCTTACGCGCGCTCGCGCCGAAGGAGGCGAGGACGCCTCCGCGCCTCCTCCCCCTCCTCCTCCTCCTCCACCTCCTACCTATGGTAGAGGTGGTGTACAACGGGCCCATCATCCCCTGGGGGGTCTCATGTGAGAGCAAGACCCAGACACCCCCGAGACGTCAAGACGTCACGACGGAAGGCTTTCCGTTGTTTTCGGGCCCTGGGGGCTCCCACTGGACATCGGGACTGTCCGAGGATGGAAAGCTGGTCTCGGGGAACTCTCGGACACCCCCGGTGGGGCTCCAGCGCCATCGCAAGTGGGCATGGGCGAAAAACGGCCCCCCGCCGCCGTTCTGCCTCCGCCGGGCGAGGGGGAGGAGGAGGAGGGGGAGGAGGAGGAGGAGGAGGAGGAGGAGGAGGAGGAGGAGGAGGAGGAGACAAGCGAAAAAGGAGATGGAGAGGCTGGCAAGAGACCCTCTGGGGCTCCACGTCGCGATCCACTCGTGACGCCGAGGGGGTCCTTGGGGAGGCGTGCTCACGGGCGCCTCGCCCGCGGGCCCGGGGCTGCCTTTGTCTGTGTGTGGCCGAGGCCTGCAGACGTCTGGCTGGAGCCCGTCCGCGGGCCAGCCGGTGCTCGCCCTGTGGAAGTCGATTGCGGGATGGGAAACTGACCACAGCCACTGCTTCTCGTTTGCGCCGCCTTCCAGCCGGCCGAAGAAGAAGCAGTGGTTGTGGTCATGTCCTTGGTGCCAAGCTGAACGGAAACGACCACAAGCACTGCTGTGTTCCTGCTGACTGGAAGGCGACAACAAAAGAAAAGCAGTGGCTCTGGTTGTTTTCCCGTCCCGTATCGATTAATGGAGAGGAGGTTCGGGGGTGGACAGAGCTCCTACCTCGACACGTCGATTAAGGAATTGGCCGTTTTCGGTTCGCGAGGGGGCGTCGCGGCCGTCATTGTTGCGGGTCCAGAGCCGTCGGTTTCGGCCCCAGGCAGTTTCCACGAAAGAGAGGTTCACTAAAGGGAGGGTTGTCCACCGCCGAGAAACATGCCGCCAAATCATTTCCAGATGTCTAGAAGATGCTTCCAATCTGTCTTGCATGTGTTAAAAACAGATTGAGAACATGTTTCACACATGCCAAGCAGATGTCTAATTCAATGATCGGATTGTTAGAGTGTCCATCGCCATGGCATCCACAATGCTCGCCAGGCATCCCACCTCCGGCGTCGCCCCCTCGGCGCCCGGGCCCGAGGAGAGCGCCGGGGTCGCGCAGGGTGCTCACCCTGGGCCGCTGCGAGCGCGGGCCCCCTTCGGGCCAGCCGCTGCTGCGCCCAGGCCGTGCTGTGGCCTGCTCCTGGCGTGCCCCGTGCTTGCGCTGGCCATGCTGCCAGGGCTGCCCCCGCAGGAGGCAGCGGAGCGGTCCGGCATGCCCACCTGGCAGGGCGGCCCCGGCGCTGGCCGTGCGGAGCAGCCCGGCCGTCGTCCGCTGCCTGTGGTCGCGGGCGTGGTGCGGTTTGCGGTCGAGGCCCGCAGGGAGTAATGTTTACCAGCCTCGAACATATCCCTATCCCTAAGATTGACATGCCAAGAAGCGATGACAGTCTTAGGGATGCGCCCTCGAAAAAAATAAGGGGATCCCTAAGATTGGCATCGTGATGAGGAACATGCCCAGCACAGGGATAGGGATATGTTCCAGGCTGGTGAAATGTCCGACCGTTGGCGCGGGCTCTGGGTGCAGCGGCGGCCAGACGCCGGGGGCGGCGTCGGCGGTCGAGCTTGCCTCATTCCCTCGAAGGAAGCGAGTTGCACAAGCAGAAGCTCTCGGAGGTCGTTCGCGCGGATTTCTCGGATCCGCGCGGGGCTCCCACCTCCCCGGCTCGCAGAGCGCGCCAGGAAGCGCGCCAGGGGGCGTCGCCGGAGGTGCCGCCAGGGGGGGGGTTCAGCGTCGACCCACGAAAGCCGCGCGGCCCTCGGAAAGTTTATGCTTCATGCCGCTTCTTGTCCCTCGCGATGTCCATCCAGCGTCCGACCGCCCAGCATGTTCCAAACTCCGGCCGCCAGTGCGGAGGAACTGGGCACCAGCCGACGAGCAGCTCCAGCCCCCCCTCGGCGAGAGTCTCCCAGGAAGCCTGTCGCACCGCGGGGGTGCGCACTCCTCCAGGCTCTGGGGTTGCGGGCTGCACGCTGCGCTGCATCTCCTGGGCGATGTTGGGGTCTTGGTGGTCAGTCGTGGTCGCCAACGGGCAGCAGAGGTCAGAGTTGCTCCCTCTCGGGGGAGGAGTCGTGCCGCCTCGCCCCGAGGGAGATCGCGGGCTTTCTGAGCCACGCGCACGGCTCTGCTTCTCCTGGGGCGGCGCGATGGCCGGTTGGCTGCTCGCGCGGGAACCGGCAGCTGGCTGGCGCGCCCCCGTCCGTGCTGCTCTTGGCATCGCTCGGACGTGTGCATTTTTCCTTGGGCGAGGACCATCGAGGAGCATCCTTGATCATTTGGCGAAAAAACCACGCACGAAACCCCCAAAAAAACACAGGGAATGGACGTCCGAGCGATGGCCAGTGCTTGCGCCCACTGTCGGGGCCGTGGCCCGCGCGGGGTGGCCATCCGTGCCGTTCCCAGGCTCTCAACGGCGTGGTCCGCGCACGTGCTACACGCCGCGCTCGGCGGCCTCTGCCCGGCGTCGCAGAGAAGAATTCGAGGACGGCCGCAGTCGTTCGGGGGCGGAAAAGAAGGGGGTGATGACTACGGGGGGGTGGATATCATGGCGGGGACCATGGTATTTCCCTAGATTTCATGGCGCCTCTTCTTGTTTCATTACGTCCCTGCCCCCCCCGCGGGGCCGCGCACATGCCGCCGGTCATGATTTGCACCCCCCCCTCTTGGACACCCCCCTCTTGGCCGCTCCCGAGTCGTGGCTGCGATTTGCACGTCTGCAAGGACGACCATGCGCTCAGCTCCCGAAGCTCGGTGGAGGCCACTGCGGGTTGCCTGCAGCAGGTGCTGGCCACGCTCGGCAGCCCCCGACGACGAGCGCGCAGCGAGCGTGCGCGGGCGGAACAGCCAGCGGCGCGCACGCTCTGCACGGGAGGCTTTGGAGAGCACTCTCACACAGTATGCGATCAGTATTGCCGTGGCGATCATTCGTCGTCCTTGTGGTGCTCTTCCTGAGAATTGCAATGCGCGCGGCGGCGCCCACGAGGTGCTAAGAGGTACTGCGGAGCTCGCATGCCCCCTGGTGATCGCGGGCGACGCGACCGCTCGGGTTTCATGGGTGCGTTCAGGCAACAAGGCGCCCACAGGGACGCTGGCGTTCGTAGTCGTCGTGGAGCATCAGCCCGTGGTGGTGCCTGCAAGCCCGGCGAGAGAAACGTGCCGAGCTGGGAACTTCGTCCCCTTTCGCGTCCACATGCCCTGCGCCTCCCTGTCGGTTTGTCCCGTCCCGGAACTGAAGTGGATCCTGAGCTCGAGCTGGTTGGGCTCCCCGCGCGTTGCAATTATAATCAGCTCAGATGAGCAGTGCGTCCAGGGAGCTCGAGCTAAAGGGTCCAGGTGAGGTCGGTCAAGGTACGGACGCCAAAACACTATAATCACAACGCAAGAGATTACAGCACAGTTCAGCACAGTACATTGCAGTTCAACGCAGCACGGCACAGCGCAGCGTAGAACACAGCCCCTGACGCAGCACCATCACCCTCAGAATTGCCGTTGCCAATTGCCCAAATGTGGCAAGTATTGCTCCTTTTTCCGGGTTCGTGGATCGGTCATGTTTTGCGGGCTTCCGTGGATGGGGGGGCCTCGCATCCGAGAGGGCACCTCGGCCATCGCCCCGGCTTCCAGGCCACGAGGGTGTACCAAGCGCCCCCTCTCTCCTGGGCGTTCTCCACCCAGCCTGGCGGCCAGCCTGCTTGGTCGACATGGCTTGGCAGCGGTGGCGACCCAACAGAGCGAGGGGCGTCCTCCTCCCCTGCTCCAGGGCCTCCTTTGTTGCTTCGCGCGCCGATCATATTTACAGTGGAGGCGCTGCACCAAGGATCGCTCTGGGCCCGGGAGGGGCTCTGATTGTCGCGCCGCTCCCACAAGCTCCAGGTCGGTTCTTTCGCGGCCAGAGAGAGAAGCGTTGCTGGTCCGGCCTCCCCGAATTTCGGGAGGTGAACAACGCACGGGCACAATTCATCGTCGACTCCCAGGGCAGCGCCCCTTTATCATCCTGGTCAGCGTCGCGGCTGCATCCTGCCAGGAACGCCACGACCACTCAGATGTGGCGCCTCGCCGCGCCCGAGCCGCCGAGAGGCTGCCCGCCCACGGGCGCGCCAAGGGCCCCAGGAGCCCCCTCGCAGCAGCACCGCGCTGGTCTCCTCCTCACTCTCCTCCTTCTCCTTCTCCTCCTCATCCTCCTCCTCCTCCTCCTCCTCCTCCTCCTCTTCCTCCTCCTCCTCCTCCTCCTCCTTATCCTCCTCCAATTCCTCCTCCCTCCTCCTCCTCCTCCTCCTTCTCCTCATTTCCTCCTCCTCCTCCTCCTTCTCCACCTCCTTTCCTCCCCTCCTCCTCCTCCTCCTCCTCCTCCTCCTCCTCCTCCTCCTCTTCCTCCTCCTTCTCCTCCTTCTCCTCCTCCTCCTCTCCTCTCCTCTCCTCCTCCATCTCCTTCTCCTCCTCCATCCTCCCTCCTCCCTCCTCCTCCTCCTCCCTCCTCATCCTCTCATCCTCCTCCCTCTCCTCCTCCTCCTCCTCCTCCTCCTCCTCCTCCTCCTCCTCCTCCTCCTCCTCCTCCTCCTCCTCCCCCTCCTCCTGCTCCTCCTCCTCCTCCCTCCTCCTCCTTCCTCCTCCTCCTCCTCCTCCTCCTCCTCCTCCTCCTCCTCCTCCTCCTCCACCATCCCCCTTCGCCCGCTGCTAGGCGAGCTCGCCGCGGGGGAGGGCGAGGCCACGCCTTCCTCCGCAG